GAAATTTTAGGTGAAATTGTGTATTTTTTTGTATAATTTCACATTAAAATCTGGACAGGTGATGCTCTGTGGGGACAGTAGGAATACAGAGTCAGTCCAGAGAATTTTATAGGACAAGAAGAATACTAACAGGTGATAGCTAGTGGAATGTAGCGCAAAAAGTAAAACAAAATATTGCATTAAATAGCTTTACAAAATGAGCGAGAAAATAAGCACAAAATTGTTACAGTGAAGCTCTTAAGAGCATATAAATATAGATGACATTGTCACGTGAAACTACTGAAAAACTCTGTGGGGAGGAAAAACAGAAGAAAGAAGGGGGAAAAATTCAATAGAATGTTCTCCACAAGAAGGTTTTTAAAGAGATTTTGAACATTAATTAACAATGCTCATATAAAAATGTTTTTAAATTTTACAGAGCTAAATCGTTTCTATTCAAAATAAAAAATTTGAATAATCTATCCTCTCTAAAATCTGGATTACGTTTTCACTACCTTGAGATGACTGAACCAAATTCTTGGTAAATGAATAAAGGGACTTTCGATTATTTTTCCTTAGTTGAAATGTACTCTTTGCTATTCTGTCTCCTGTTTTACCATCTTAAAGAAGTTTGTTTCCTAATCTACTGGCTTTTGAAAGATTTCTTTATTCAGTTCTGCTATTAGGGATAAGTAAAATATTTAAAATAATAATTCGAGAATAAATCTTGAATTTAATAAAAAGAAGATTTGAAGTAAATTTCCAACTATTTATAACACCGCTTTGTAAATAACACATAATTCTTAAACAAGCTTTTATATAATACATGATTGAGATTTTACTGCTTTAGCACAGGTTTCAATATTTCTAATGGCCTGCTTTGAACTTTGAAATTAAACAGCCGCATACACAAATATTCTATATATGAATACATTACAACGTACTTTACAGCTGAATATACTAAAGATACGTGTAAGGGTACGTAAAGGAATGGAGTACATTCCATGGAACGGCAGAAAACATTTGATCAAGCATGTGTATTTAACTTTTAATACACATGCTTGATCAAATAACTTTTCATTTAACTTTTAATACACATGCTTGATGCCTGCTTAATTTAGCATGTTAAGGGAAATCATGTGTTCTAACAATATTATAAACTGTCAAAACTATTGAAAAAATTTCGAATTACACAGCCCTGAAAATTGATTACCCGAAAAATCGATTATCTGTGGTTAAGGACACATACTACAGAAAGATTACGCTATACATACATAATACATACACAAATAATACATAATACATATTACATAATGAACGAAATTTACAGGGAAGTCTGAATCTCTTTCTCCTTTAGTTCTCAGACGTCAAAGTCTATAACAGATGTCAAAGATGGTAGTTTTGACCTCTATTAAATAATTTTCTCTTAATTCAACTCTTTTTGTTTGAATTATTTTTGTTTATTAAATTTGTTTCAGTCGGCCTGCACGGATAATCTGTAAGCAAAGGAATTAAAATTTCGATTAAAAATAAGCTAGCAGTTAACAATTGCATAAAAAGGCTGAAATTTCAAAAACCTAAATTGCAGTTTTAAGTAAAGGGATATTAAAACTTGTGAGTATTACTTTCATTTTACTACCTACATTATTCAAAAACTTAATTTAATCTCGAAATACAATACTTAACATTTGAAAATAAATTTATACTTCGCCGAAATAATGTCCTCTTTGTGAATAAATATGTCACTTTGTTCTTTTTACTTCCTTGTACGAAGTACGTAGGTTTAGGTCCTAAGTACGTAGGTTTAGGTACATAGGTTTAGGTTCTTTTTACTTCCTTGTACGAAGTACCTAGGTATAGGTCCTTGTACGTAGGTTTAGGTTTGGGTTTGTAGTGCAGCTGACACCCATTGGGTTAACCATTGGTAATTTGGGTATTGTCCAAATGCACTATCTTTATTTGAACATTTAAATTTTGTTGAAGAATTTTAACCATATTTAAAATTTTTACATACGGTTACATTATAATTATGACATATGGTGCCTTTCATATTCAAGTACATAATGGTAAATATAGAACATAATGGCAAATACAGAACATAAAGGTAAATACATAAAACATAATGGTAAATATATAACATATCAGTACATAGTGGCATCAAAAATATATATAACATGGTTATATACATAAATGCAAAAAGCATTTTTTGCCTGTACGTGCAGAGAGTATATATATATATTGATTATACACAGAAATCATTCTACATATGAATTATTTTTTAGAATATTTGAGACTTTCTTTTGTTTTGTTGGATGCAAAGAAGTGTTGTATGGTACTGTAGTCTTTTTGTCAATTCTAGTCTGTACTTTCGTCGATTTTGTCCTTGAGTTTTTTGTCAAGTAGGTTTTTTTGGAAAATCTAATTAAAATTTTTAGAAGTTCCAGTATGTTATTATTTGCTTATCTTGTATTGCACTATTCTTCTCCTCTGCTAGCGAGGAATATGATTGAGAGTTATATTTTTCTTCTTAGCTGTTTAATTTTTAATGCTATTTGTAAGCAAAAGAATTAAAAAGTCTCAGGAAATTTCAAATGATAGTTTTTTGTTAATAGACATATGAAGATGTAATGGTTAAGGTCGTCCCTTTCCCCACATATACATTGCTCAGAAAAATAAATATTAGTAAGTAATAGTAAAATAAGTATTTTAATCACGGAAAATTTCAGGCATCTTCTTTCAGTAGAAATATCCATTTTGACGATTCCAAACCTATATGAACGATTTTTTTGCGTGATGTCTATATGGACAGAATAAAGAACTGCTTTTCTGAAAAGGATTGTAAAATGGATTTCAAGTGGATTCAAAAGGGACTGTTTCGTGATATTTGTACGTTTGTATGTATGTATTTCGCATAATTTAATAACGATTAGCCATATAAAATTTAAATTTTGTACATCCGGCTGCCGCGTACACATATATTTCCTATAACTCAAAAGCAGTTAGTCATAGAACGTTGAAACTTTGTATATGGGACTGCTATAACATCTAGTTGTGTTTGTATTGGCAATCGCCAGAACCAAACGTATATACGTATGTATATCGATACTCTTACCCGGCTTCAAAGTTCTTAATTGGCCTTTAATTTTGCCATTGCTCGTTGTAATATATTTTCAATTATGGAATGTTTTAATTGACGGAAATACTTATGTTTTGGCCCTTTCAAATTTAAAAAAAAAAATAATGAAATCTAACTTTTAATGTGATCTAACGGTTCTTATGATTGGGAATATTTATATTCGTTATGAAAAATGAAATTTTAAGAAGTTTGATTCCCGGGTGACAAAAATTGACCGGGATATTGATTTCAAAATTTCCAGTTTTTGATGTCATTTTCAACTTGACTTGAAAGGTTGGCTAAGTACGTTAGAATAAGTTTAAATGAAATGCAGCAAAAAAAAAAAAAAAATTGTACAATTTAATAGGCCATACAAGAAAGTCATGTGTTGATTTTTCAAATATAAAATTTCCTCAGATTTTCAAATATAAAAGTCCATCTATCTTGGTTCCGCTCAGTTCAGTTAACCGAAGCTATACTTTATGAAGCTTCTACATGCCAAATCTTGAAGGTCTTTTCTTTTAAAAGCACATGCGTTTCCTTATATAAACAAAATATCAAAGATATACTCGTAAGACCGACATATGAATTCAAAGATGATTGGGGTTTACTTACGTTTACATTCATTTCCATCTTTCTCAAATTTCTCTTTGCACTTGCAGACTTTTTGATCACCTTCAATGATACATTTTTAATTTTTTCCGCAATTACACTCTGTACTAGGAACAACAGATTAACACATATTCGCTCCATTTAAAACAAATTCATTTTCTTTCGCTTAACAAGTGCTGCAATAGTTGCTAGAAGTATTTTTTTATTTAAACAATACACAGCGGTTACTGAGTATGATAATTGCAGTAATCTCTATTATTAAATAATGAAGAATCTCTAATGTGTTTTTCTCGGATAGTGGGAAAACGGCAACAACTAGAGTAATCAAATTTTAAAGATATTTAGTACTTTTCACAGACAAATATGAACTGCAAATATGAATTTTCATTTATTTTGTGCCAACTGAATGAGATTTTGAAAAATGGTTTATTACTGAAATCGCAAAAAGCTTTTGTGGAAGTACATTTGCTGGACCCAATGAAATCACACTAACTGGATTCATTAAAATTTTCTTTTTTGGAATAACTATTTTAGGCGGCCATTTATAACATAAATATCTGTACTAGTATTTGCCATAATAAAAATAACTGCACCGTGGCCAGTTCCAGTTAATCGAGGCAAAATTATATTCAAATATATCTGGATGCCTGTATTTTTATTCAAGTTAAGAAAATAATAAGATTTTTCATTCCTTTTATTTGAAAGGGATCGAATAAAGCGTATACATATTTTGTTCCGGTTGACGAATGCATTTCTCAGAATACATAAAATAGAAAGTGTTTATAATGTAATTAATTAATCTCTTTTAAGACAAACAACAGGTTAAAGAACACGTTCCGTCATCCTAATAGCTGAAAATAATAAACGAATGCATTTATTATTATCGAATGGAAAAAACTAAAATTAAACCCATATTTTATTTGCGGAAAAAATGAGTTTTAGAATTAATAAATTTGGCATCCACATATTGAATAATGTAACTCTAAAATATATACTATAATCCTTTCAGTCGCGACTAGAATCGTTATGTAAATTATAAATTTGTATACATAATTGTCACAGACTATCGCTATTTTGTATATTTTCTATAGCACATTGCTGTTAGAACAAACCTTTGGCCTTAAAATTTTGTTAACGTGTATGAGCTAATTTGGGAGAAAGGAAATTCACTTCTTCTCTTGAAGAAATGTAAGTGTGTTAACGTTATTCTTAGAAATTTCTGACACTTGACGCATATTTCGTAATTTTGTATTATTATATACGTATTTATATTAATGGAAAATAGGAACGGTACCTTCACAAGTTCCATCTTTTACTTGATAGTTTGGTTTACATGTGCACTCTTTCTGTCCTTCAGTATTAAATGCACAGCTTTCGGCATTTGTCCCACAGTTGCATTCTAAGATATAAAACAAAACATTATATGTATTTTTATTCAAGTTAAGAAAATTATAAGATTTTTGATTCCTTTTACCCGAAAGGGATCGAATAAAGCGTATACATATTTTGTTCCGGTTGACGAATGCATTTCTCAGAATACATAAATTAGAAAGTGTTTATAATGTAATTAATTAATCTCTTTTAAGACAAACAACAGGTTAAAGAACACGTTCCGTCATCCTAATAGCTGAAAATAATAAACGAATGCATTTATTATTATCGAATGGAAAAAACTAAAATTAAACCCATATTTTATTTGCGGAAAAAATGAGTTTTAGAATTAATAAATTTGGCGTCCACATATTGAATAATGTAACTCTAAAATATATACTATAATCCTTTCAGTCGCGACTAGAATCGTTATGTAAATTATAAATTTGTGTACATAATTGTCACAGACTATCGCTATTCTGTATATTTTCTATAGCACATTGCTGTTAGAACAATCCTTTGCTCTTAAAATTTTGTTAACATGTATGAGCTAATTTGGGAGAAAGGAAATTCACTTCACTTCTTCTCTTGAAGAAATGTAAGTGTGTTAACGTTATTCTTAGAAATTTCTGACACTTGACGCATATTTCGTAATTTTGTATTATTATATACGTATTTATATTAATTGAAAATAGGAACGGTACCTTCACAAGTTCCATCTTTTACTTGATAGTTTGGTTTACATGTGCACTCTTTCTGTCCTTCAGTATTAAATGCACAGCTTTCGGCATTTGTCCCACAGTTGCATTCTAAGATATAAAACAAAACATTATATGTATTTTTATTCAAGTTAAGAAAATTATAAGATTTTTTGATTCCTTTTATTTGAAAGGGATCGAATAAAGCGTATACATATTTTGTTCCGGTTGACGAATGCATTTCTCAGAATACATAAATTAGAAAGTGTTTATAATGTAATTAATTAATCTCTTTTAAGACAAACAACAGGTTAAAGAACACGTTCCGTCATCCTAATAGCTGAAAATAATAAACGAATGAATTTATTATTATCGAATGGAAAAAACTAAATTTAAACCCATATTTTATTTGCGGAAAAAATGAGTTTTAGAATTAATAAATTTGGCATCCACATATTGAATAATGTAACTCTAAAATATATACTATAATCCTTTCAGTCGCGACTAGAATCGTTATGTAAATTATAAATTTGTATACATAATTGTCACAGACTATCGCTATTTTGTATATTTTCTATAGCACATTGCTGTTAGAACAAACCTTTGGCCTTAAAATTTTATTACCGTGTATGAGCTAATTTGGGAGAAAGGAAATTCACTTCTTCTCTTGAAGAAATGTAAGTGTGTTAACGTTATTCTTAGAAATTTCTGACACTTGACGCATATTTCGTAATTTTGTATTATTATATACGTATTTATATTAATTGAAAATAGGAACGGTACCTTCACAAGTTCCATCTTTTACTTGATAGTTTGGTTTACATGTGCACTCTTTCTGTCCTTCAGTATTAAATGCACAGCTTTCGGCATTTGTCCCACAGTTGCATTCTAAGATATATAAAAAAAAACATTATATGTATTTTTATTCAAGTTAAGAAAATTATAAGATTTTTGATTCCTTTTACCCGAAAGGGATCGAATAAAGCGTATACATATTTTGTTCCGGTTGACGAATGCATTTCTCAGAATACATAATTAGAAGAAAGTGATTATAATGTAATTGATTGTTCTCTTTTAAACACAAACACCAGGTTAAAAAAAGAACACGTTCCGTCATCCTAATAGCTGAAAATAATAAACGAATGAATTTATTATTATCGAATGGAAAAAAACTAAATTTAAACCCATATTTTATTTGCGGAAAAAATGAGTTTTAGAATTAATAAATTTGGCGTCCACATATTGAATAATGTAACTCTAAAATATATACTATAATCCTTTCAGTCGCGACTAGAATCGTTATGTAAATTATAAATTTGTGTACATAATTGTCACAGACTATCGCTATTCTGTATATTTTCTATAGCACATTGCTGTTAGAACAAACCTTTGGCCTTAAAATTTTGTTAACGTGTATGAGCTAATTTGGGAGAAAGGAAATTCACTTCTTCTCTTGAAGAAATGAAGAAATGTAAGTGTGTTAACGTTATTCTTAGAAATTTCTGACACTTGACGCATATTTCGTAATTTTGTATTATTATATACGTATTTATATTAATTGAAAATAGGAACGGTACCTTCACAAGTTCCATCTTTTACTTGATAGTTTGGTTTACATGTGCACTCTTTCTGTCCTTCAGTATTAAATGCACAGCTTTCGGCATTTGTCCCACAGTTGCATTCTAAGATATAAAACAAAACATTATATGTATTTTTTATTCAAGTTAAGAAAATTATAAGATTTTTGATTCCTTTTACCCGAAAGGGATCGAATCGAATAAGCGTATACATTTTGTTCCGGTTGACGAATGCATTTCTCAGAATACATAAATTAGAAAGTGTGTTTATAATGTAATTAATTAATCTCTTTTAAGACAAACAACAGGTTAAAGAACACGTTCCGTCATCCTAATAGCTGAAAATAATAAACGAATGAATTTTTATATTATCGAATGGAAAAAACTAAAATTAAACCCATATTTTATTTGCGGAAAAAATGAGTTTTAGAATTAATAAATTTGGCGTCCACATATTGAATAATGTAACTCTAAAATATATACTATAATCCTTTCAGTCGCGACTAGAATCGTTATGTAAATTATAAATTTGTGTACATAATTGTCACAGACTATCGCTATTCTGTATATTTTCTATAGCACATTGCTGTTAGAACAAACCTTTGGCTCTTAAAATTTTATTACCGTGTATGAGCTAATTTGGGAGAAAGGAAATTCACTTCTTCTCTTGAAGAAATGTAAGTGTGTTAACGTTATTCTTAGAAATTTCTGACACTTGACGCATATTTCGTAATTTTGTATTATTATATACGTATTTATATTAATTGAAAATAGGAACGGTACCTTCACAAGTTCCATCTTTTACTTGATAGTTTGGTTTACATGTGCACTCTTTCTGTCCTTCAGTATTAAATGCACAGCTTTCGGCATTTGTCCCACAGTTGCATTCTAAGATATAAAACAAAACACTATATGTATTTTTATTCAAGTTAAGAAAATTATAAGATTTTTGATTCCTTTTTTCCCGAAAAAGGGATCGAATTAAGCGTATACATATTTTTGTTCCGGTTGACGAATGCATTTCTCAGAATACATAAATTAGAAAGTGTTTATAATGTAATTGATTGTTCTCTTTTAACACAAACACCAGGTTAAAGAACACGTTCCGTCATCCTAATAGCTGAAAATAATAAACGAATGAATTTATTATTATCGAATGGAAAAAACTAAATTTAAAGCCTACATTTTATTTGCGGAAAAAATGAGTTTTAGAATTAAGAAATTTGGCATCCACATATTGAATAATGTAACTCTAAAATATATACTATAATCTTTCAGTCGCGACTAGAATCGTTATGTAATATATAAATTTGTATACATAATTGTCACAGACTATCGCTATTTGTATATTTTTCTATAGCACATTGCTGTTAGAACAAACCTTTGCTCTTAAAAATTTTGTTAACGTGTATGAGCTAATTTGGGAGAAAGGAAATTCACTTCTTCTCTTGAAGAAATGTAAGTGTGTTAACGTTATTCTTAGAAATTTCTGACACTTGACGCATATTTCGTAATTTTGTATTATTATATACGTATTTATATTATCTGAAAATCGGACCGGTACCTTCACAAGTTCCATCTTTTACTTGATAGTTTGGTTTACATGTGCACTCTTTCTGTCCTTCAGTATTAAAAGCGCAGCTTTGGGCATTTGTCCCACAGTTGCATTCTAAGACATAAAAAAAAAACATTATATGTATTTTTATTCAAGTTAAGAAAATTATAAGATTTTTTTTGATTCCTTTTACCCGAAAGGGATCGAATAAAGCGTATACATATTTTGTTCCGGTTTGACGAATGCATTTCTCAGAATACATAAATTAGAAAGTGATTATAAATGTAATTGATTGTTCTCTTTTAACACAAACAACCAGGTTAAAGAACACGTTCCGTCATCCTAATAGCTGAAATAATAAAACGAATGAATTTATTATTATCGAATGGAAAAAACTAAATTTAAACCACATTTTTATTTGCGGAAAAAAATGAGTTTTAGAATTAATAAATTTGGCGTCCACATATTGAATAATGTAACTCTAAAATATATACTATAATCCTTTCAGTCGCGACTAGAATCGTTATGTAAATTATAAATTTGTGTACATAATTGTCACAGACTATCGCTATTTCTGTATATTTTCTATAGCACATTGCTGTTAGAACAATCCTTTGCTCTTAAAATTTTGTTAACATGTATGAGCTAATTTGGAAGGGAGAAAGGAAATTCACTTCTTCTCTTGAAGAAATGTAAGTGTGTTAACGTTATTCTTAGAAATTTCTGACACTTGACGCATATTTCGTAATTTTGTATTATTATATACGTATTTATATTAATTGAAAATAGGAACGGTACCTTCACAAGTTCCATCTTTTACTTGATAGTTTGGTTTACATGTGCACTCTTTCTGTCCTTCAGTATTAAATGCACAGCTTTCGGCATTTGTCCCACAGTTGCATTCTAAGATATAAAACAAAACACTATATGCATTTTTATTCAATTTAAGAAAATTATAAGATTTTTGATTCCTTTTTCCCGAAAGGGATTGAATTAAGCGTATGCATATTTTCTTCCGGTTGTCGAATGCATTTCTCAGAATACATAATTTAGAAAGTGATTATAATGTAATTGATTGTTCTCTTTTAACACAAACACCAGGTTAAACAACACGTTCCGTCATCCTAATAGCTGAAAATAATAAACGAATGAATTTGTTATTATCGAATGGAAAAAACTAAATTTAAAGCCACATTTTATTTGCGGAAAAAATGAGTTTTAGAATTAATAAATTTGGCGTCCACATATTGAATAATGTAACTCTAAAATATATACTATAATCCTTTCAGTCGCGACTAGAATAGTTATGTAAATTATAAATTTGTGTACATAAATGTCACAGACTATCGCTATTCCGTATATTTTCTATCGCACATTGCTGTTAGAACAATCCTTTGCTCTTAAAATTTTGTTAACATGTATGAGCTAATTTGGGAGAAAGGAAATTCACTTAACATGTATGAGCTAATTTGGGAGAAAGGAAATTCTCTTGAAGAAATGTAAGTGTGTTAAATTTATTCTTAGAAATTTCTGACACTTGACGCATATTTCGTAATTTTGTATTATTATATACGTATTTATATTAATTGAAAATAGGAACGGTACCTTCACAAGTTCCATCTTTTACTTGATAGTTTGGTTTACATGTGCACTCTTTCTGTCCTTCAGTATTAAATGCACAGCTTTCGGCATTTGTCCCACAGTTGCATTCTAAGATTATAAAACAAAACATTATATGTATTTTTATTCAAGTTAAGAAAATTATAAGATTTTTGATTCCTTTTACCCGAAAGGGATCGAATTAAGCGTATACATATTTTGTTCCGGTTGACGAATGCATTTCTCAGAATACATAAATTAGAAAGTGTGATTATAATGTAATTAATTAATCTCTTTTAAGACAAACAACAGGTTAAAGAACACGTTCCGTCATCCTAATAGCTGAAAATAATAAACGAATGAATTTATTATTATCGAATGGAAAAAACTAAAAATTAAACCCATATTTTATTTGCGGAAAAAATGAGTTTTAGAATTAATAAATTTGGCGTCCACATATTGAATAATGTAACTCTAAAATATATACTATAATCCTTTCAGTCGCGACTAGAATCGTTATGTAAATTATAAATTTGTGTACATAATTGTCACAGACTATCGCTATTCTGTATATTTTCTATAGCACATTGCTGTTAGAACAATCCTTTGCTCTTAAAATTTTGTTAACATTTCTGAGCTAATTTGGGAGAAAGGAAATTCACTTCTTCTCTTGAAGAAATGTAAGTGTGTTAAATTTATTCTTAGAAATTTCTGACACTTGACGCATATTTCGTAATTTTTTATTATTGTATACGTATTTATATTAATTGAAAATAGGAACGGTACCTTCACAAGTTCCATCTTTTACTTGATAGTTTGGTTTACATGTGCACTCTTTCTGTCCTTCAGTATTAAATGCACAGCTTTCGGCATTTGTCCCACAGTTGCATTCTAAGATATAAAATAAAACACTATATGTATTTCTATTCAAGTTAAGAAAATTATAAGATTTTTGATTCCTTTTACCCGAAAGGGATCGAATAAAGCGTATACATATTTGTTCCGGTTGACGAATGCATTTCTCAGAATACATAAATTAGAAAGTGTTTATAATGTAATTGATTGTTCTCTTTTAACACAAACACCAGGTTAAACAACACGTTCCGTCATCCTAATAGCTGAAAATAATAAACGAATGAATTTATTATTATCGAATGGAAAAAACTAAATTTAAAGCCACATTTTATTTGCGGAAAAAATGAGTTTTAGAATTAATAAATTTGGCGTCCACATATTGAATAATGTAACTCTAAAATATATACTATAATCCTTTCAGTCGCGACTAGAATAGTTATGTAAATTATAAATTTGTGTACATAATTGTCACAGACTATCGCTATTCTGTATATTTTCTATAGCACATTGCTGTTAGAACAACCTTTGGCCTTAAAATTTTGTTAACGTGTATGAGCTAATTTGGGAGAAAGGAAATTCACTTCTTCTCTTGAAGAAATGTAAGTGTGTTAACGTTATTCTTAGAAATTTCTGACACTTGACGCATATTTCGTAATTTTCTATTTTTATATACGTATTTATATTAATTGAAAATAGGAACGGTACCTTCACAAGTTCCATCTTTTACTTGATAGTTTGGTTTACATGTGCACTCTTTCTGTCCTTCAGTATTAAATGCACAGCTTTCGGCATTTGTCCCACAGTTGCATTCTAAGATATAAAAACAAAACATTATATGTATTTTTATTCAAGTTAAGAAAATTATAAGATTTTTGATTCCTTTTACCCGAAAGGGATCGAATTAAAGCGTATACATATTTTTGTTCCGGTTGACGAATGCATTTCTCAGAATACATAAATTAGAAAGTGTTTATAATGTAATTAATTAATCTCTTTTAAACACAAACAACAGGTTAAAAGAACACGTTCCGTCATCCTAATAGCTGAAAATAATAAACGAATGAATTTATTATTATCGAATGGAAAAAACTAAAATTTAAACCCATATTTTATTTGCGGAAAAAAAAAACAAAAAAAAAAAAAAAAAAAAAAAAAAAAAAAAAAAAAAAAAAAAAAAAAAAAAAAAAAAAAAAAAAATGAGTTTTAGAATTAATAAATTTGGCGTCCACATATTGAATAATGTAACTCTAAAATATATACTATAATCCTTTCAGTCGCGACTAGAATCGTTATGTAAATTATAAATTTGTGTACATAATTGTCACAGACTATCGCTATTCTGTATATTTTCTATAGCACATTGCTGTTAGAACAAATCCTTTGCTCTTAAAATTTTGTTAAAAATGTATGAGCTAATTTGGGAGAAAGGTTAACATGTATGAGCTAATTTGGGAGAAAGGAAAACTTCTCTTGAAGAAAATGTAAGTGTGTTAAACGTTTATTCTTAGAAATTTCTGACACTTGACGCATATTTCGTAATTTTGTATTATTATATACGTATTTATATTAATTGAAAATAGGAACGGTACCTTCACAAGTTCCATCTTTTACTTGATAGTTTGGTTTACATGTGCACTCTTTCTGTCCTTCAGTATTAAATGCACAGCTTTCGGCATTTGTCCCACAGTTGCATTCTAAGATATAAAAACAAAACATTATATGTATTTTTATTCAAGTTAAGAAAATTATAAGATTTTTTGATTCCTTTTACCCGAAAAAGGGATCGAATTAAGCGTATACATATTTTGTTCCGGTTGACGAATGCATTTCTCAGAATACATAAATTAGAAAGTGTTTATAATGTAATTATTAATCTCTTTAAGACAAACACAGGTTAAAGAACACGTTCCGTCATCCTAATAGCTGAAAATAATAAACGAATGAATTTATTATTATCGAATGGAAAAACTAAATTTAAACCACATTTTATTTGCGGAAAAAATGAGTTTTAGAATTAATAAATTTGGCGTCCACATATTGAATAATGTAACTCTAAAATATTTACTATAATCCTTTCAGTCGCGACTAGAATCGTTATGTAAATTATAAATTTGTATACATAATTGTCACAGACTATCGATATTCTGTATATTTTCTATAGAAAATTGCTGTTAGAACAAACCTTTGCTCTTAAAATTTTGTTAACGTGTATTGAGTTGGAGAAAGGAAATTCACTATGAGCTAATTTGGGAGAAAAACTTCTCTTGAAGAAATGTAAGTGTGTTAACGTTATTCTTAGAAATTTCTGACACTTGGCTAATACACATATTTCGTAATTTTGTATTATTATATACGTACTTATTTTAATTGAAAATAGGAACGGTACCTTCACAAGTTCCATCTTTTTCTTCATAGTTTGGTTTACATGTGCACACTTTCTCTCCTTGAGGATTAAATGCACAGCTTTCGGCATTTGTCCCACAGTTGCATACTATGATATAAAACAAAAAACGTTATATGTATTTTTATTCAACTTAAGAAAACTATAAGATTTTTGATTTTTTTTCCTTTAAATTAGAAAATGAGCATCTGAATTTCAATGAAGTCAGGAAGTCATACTTCTAGATTCAATTAAGCGTATGCATATTTTCTTCCGGTTGTCGAATGCATTAATCAGAATACATAAAATAGAATGTGTTTATAGCATAATTAAATGTTCTCTTTTAAGACAAACACCAGGTTAAAGAACACGTTACCTCAACCTAATAGCTGGAAATAATAAACGAAGGCATTTAATATTATCGCATTCAAAAAACTAAAATTAAACCCATATACTATTAAACATTTATCGTCAACCAGCATTATTATATAAATTGTTTATTCAAAACAGTTGATATTGGCTAAACGCGTGTTGAAACGTTTTGGAAATATAGCAGTAAATATCGAGCACGGAAAAAATAATTCTTTTACGTGAAGATAGAAAACTGATTTAAGAATAAATCGTCGACTTTCTGTTACACCCAACTTTACAAATTCCATATCCTTCTTTAGCTTAAATAACGGCCATGTAGCTGTCGCAAATGTTTCGTTTTTTGAAATATGTAAAATCGTTTTTGTGCTTTTATCATAACAAAAAGAAGCAAATTAAAAGATTGCCCGAGTACTCCATGAAATTAGAATACGCAGACATCAGTAATTGCACAGAAAATTATTTTAAGAAGGATTATATTTTGTTTGCGCTAAATATACAAAAATGAAAAGCATAGTTCTCTACCCGTTTTATGAGTTGCTATTGTTGGAAGGAAATACATAGTTTCCAATTAATCAAGTATACGTAAAATATTCGCGAACGTGAAATATACATCTCTTACTTAGTGTTACCTCACTAGTTCCGAAATTTGCCTAACCTTTACTAATATTCTACGGAAAAATTAGCTCTACATATACAAATTAAAATTATGTGTGATTCGGACAAAATTATGTCGATTAAAGGAAAAGCGAGTTTGACAGTAAATTCTTTTCCGTATTATAGCCCTAAAAATAATATTTAAAAATTGACATTAAGCGACTTCTGCGCGTTAATACAATTTGTATGCTTTCACAGACTTGTCACAGAGGAACACAATTCTAACTATGTTTATATGAAACTGGTTTAGTTCCAAATTAATTGCTTAAATTATCTCTATTAGGAAAAAGGAATTGCCCACACAAAACGCAACTTCGTTACGCGAAGACAGAAATTTGCTTTGCAAAATGTATACGAATTTCTCAAACGATTTCGTCGGACGTGTTTCTGCATTTACGTTAAATGAAACATTATTGACTAAACGATTTACTCCGATTTGTTCAAAAGCACATTTGCCAGAATAGAGTTTTAGTCCTTAAACTCCGCTCTTATAACTATTGCCATTTTGGCCGCACATCCATTTTAAATAAAGACACAAGAAGTATACACACATAGGATATATTTGGCGGAACTTACCTCGGCAAGATCATTTTCAGTGCTCGTTTAGAAGAACATTTCATATCTAAATACGCTTTAAAGTATAAAACGGTGATAGGAAAGGATTGGCGAGAAGAAATATTTTTAATATTTTTTGTTATATCTTCGCTCTAGTGCTCGAAGGATCATATATCGTGAGCAACCTACATTAAGAAATAATTACATTTTATTTGGGGACAAATTGGGAGTTTTAAGAATTCCTAATTTTGGCGCGTCCACATATTGAATAATGTAACTCTAAAATATTTACTATAATCCTTTCAGTCGCGACTAGAATCGTTATGTAAATTATAAGTTTGTATACATAATTGTCACAGACTATCGATATTCTGTATATTTTCTATAGAAAATTGCTGTTAGAACAAACCTTTGCTCTTAAAATTTTGTTAACGTATATGAGCTAATTTGGGAGAAAGGAAAATTCACTTCTTCTCTTGAAGAAATGTAAGTGTGTTAACGTTATTCTTAGAAATTTCTGACACTTCTAATACACATTGTCATGCTCGCGCTCGTTCAAACACGAGGTGGGTTTTCTGTAAACTTACCATAGTGGGAAAATAACAGTGTCCGCTTTGACATTTTCTTCACTAATTTATTACACAAACTGCACTATGGATACACCATACAACGAGTACACTGTAACATAAACTATATACAATATATATATACAAGGCGCGCAAAAGAAATTAAAACATATTTCTTTTCTCTACGTTCTCACACGGCATGCTCGCCGGTCCAACTCCCAGTGCCCTCTCCGTCCAGTCTTTCTTCCCCCCACCAGCCTGCCTCGACCGGTTTTTCCGGGGTAAGTCACTTCCGTTCTTCGTCTTTCATCAGGGGAAGGAACTTCACACCTCCCCTCTGGTTTGTAAATATTTACGACTGAGTCGAAAAATTTGAAACCCATATTATTTTGGCACTTACCAGGTAGTCCCTCTTTTCCGGGACACAGCACAAGGAATCACAGTAAAATCAGAGAGCAAAAAAAAAAAAGGGTCATGCTACAGTTATAAACACTAACACAAAAAAGAACACTTAAAACACATAAACATAAAAACTGCACACATGTCCAAATTTCTACAGCGATACAAACAAAACATTGCAATATCAACTCACTGACACTTCTTTAAGGAATAATTCGTTTACTAATATACCCTAATAACACAATCTTTTCTAGAGTAACCACAATAATACAAAAAAAAATAATAAATGAAAATTACAATATCTATATACTTTTTGCCATACTAGCATTGAACATTATCCTTTCTAGTGTTACAATAATAAACAAACACACACACAAAAAAAAATATATGATACCAACATTAGTTTTTTTTTTTTTCCAATTTAGTTCAGATTATTGGTCACTTATACATTCGTGAGGGATCCTCGACAATGCGTCTGCATCGGAGTTTTTAGCTCCTGGTTTATGCATTACAGTGACTTGGAAGCGGGATAGAGCTAATGCCCATCTCTGTAATCTAGCATTCCGGGGTATCCCTTCGGTTAAGTACTTTAATGGGTTATGGTCTGTATGCAACAAAATTTTATTTCCGTATGTCCAAGTTTCGAACTTGTCGAGAGCCCAAATAATTGCATACGCCTCTCTTTCTATAGTGCTCCATTTAGACTGAGCGCTAGTTAATTTCTGGCTAGCAAATGTTATCGGTCTAGCTTTCCCATACTCATCTCGTTGAAGTAAACACGCTCCAATACCTATTAGTGAGGCGTCTGTGTTAATTTCAAAAGGTTTCCGTATATCCGGCGTATATAAAGACGATGCCGTGCACAAAGCATCCTTTAATTCTTTGAATGCCTTCTCGGCTTCAGACCCCCAAGGTATATCATTAGGTATAGATTTTTCTCGTGAGATCAGTTAACGGCCTAGCTATTTTTGCATAATTCGGAACATACTCTCGATAGTAATTATATAACCCCAAAACTGATCTTAATGCCTTTTTGGTTCTAGGTGGCTTCAAATTTTTAATGACCTGCAATTTCTCTGGATCTGGGCCATGTCTGCCTGAGCCTACTATGTGACCTAAATACTTTACCTCCGACTTGCCAAAAGAGCATTTCTCTAAATTAGCCGTAAAGTTCAATGTCTGTAAAGTACTGAGTACGGCTCTTAAATGTTTAAGATGTTCTTCCCACGTTGACGAATAGACAATTATATCATCATCGATGAAACTTTCAGCATAATCACTATGTGGTCTAAGAGCTTGATTCATAACTCTTTGGAAAGTTGCGGCAGCACCTGACAAACCGAACGGCATCACTTTCCACTGATACTGACCCTTCGGAGAAACAAAACTCGTCAGATGTCTACTTTCCTTCTCCATAGGGATTTCCCAATACCCCTTAAGAATATCTAGCGTAGACAAATAACGTGCTGCCCCTGCCTTATATCGAAGCTCTTCTGCGTTTTGCATAGGAAATGGGACAATCTGACTTTCCGCATTAAGCCCTCGATAATCACAACATAAACGTACGCTTCCGTCCCGTTTCGCTACACACACAATAGGGTAAGCAATCTCTGCTGTGGAAGGTTCAATTAAACCTCTTTCTAACAAATCAGCAATTTGCTTTTCCACCTGTGGCTTCAACGCCTCAGGTACCTTATAAACATGAGGTTGCTTTCTTTCAACTCCCGTTTTTAACCTGATACTGTGGGATCCTACCTTCGCACATTTAATCTCCCCGTCAAACACTACATGGAAAGATTTGATTAATCTGCTCAACTGATCCCTTTGTGACCTATCTAAATGTTTCCATTCCTCTGAAACACAGATCCTATCTAAAAGTTTGTCTACTTTAGGGTTTCTTTGAATAGGCGCGTGCTGCACCTCCCCAAATTCTGTGTCAGCCTCATAGATTATCCCTACTGCATTTATAGGCTGTATATATTTCCGTAACTTATTTTGATGCAAATGTCTAACAGATTCATCTGGCAATTTTACCAAATATGAATGTGGAGACTTTTTCGCAACTATTTCTCCAGGTCCTGTCCATTTCGAGCAAAGTTTATTTGTTGACGTTGGTATCAGTACTACTACCTCATCTCCTATCTCGAATTCATTTTCCTTAGACCTCAAATTATGATGATGAACATATTTCTGCTGTTTAGCTTCCGAATTTTCTTTAGCGAATTTCTCTGCCTCCTGTAACCTATTTCGAAGAGAAATTAAATATTCAGTAACTGATTCCCCAACTCCTTGTGGTAATACCGTCTCATCTACCCAACTTGATTTAAGTATCGCCAGTGGCCCCACTGGCACCCGACCATACATCAGCAAAAATGGTGAGACTCCGGTAGTTGAATTCGGTATCTCCCTATAAGCCCATAACAAATATGGTAACTGCTTATCCCAGTTTCTTCCTTGAGTATTTATCGCGTGATGCAACATTGACTTCATTGTTCCTATCCACCTTTCCACTAGCCCGTTTGACTGCGGATACCCTGGCGTAGAAAATTTTGGCGAGGCCCCTAA